ATTCCCCACCGAGCAGCTCGAACTACAGCAGGGGGCTGACCTAGGGGTCCGAGAGATCAGGAGCTGGCTCGAGGCCCAGGTCCGACCGGGGTGGCCAGCCGTATCCGCCAAGGGGACCGACATAAAGACGCTGTACGCCCAATGGAACAGCTTGGAGCTCCACAACGGCGTGGTCTACAGACGGTGGCGGGCACCAGGACATGGAGTTGACCGTCTGCAGCTGCTGGTTCCCTCCGCTCTCCGGCCAGAGGTTCTCCGCTGGGTCCACGGGGCAGCTGGGTCCGGCCATTTCGGCAACTCCAAAACCATGAGACGACTGCGGCAGCGTTTCTATTGGCCGGGGTCCCGGCAGGAGGCCGAGCTCCATGTACACTGTTGCGACGTCTGCACAGTGCAGAAGGGGCCTAGCCAGCTCTCTCAAGCCCCGCTGCAACAGTATCTAGTGGGGGCCCCGATGGAACGAGTCGGAGTGGACATTCTGGGGCCATTTCCCACCACTGCAGCTGGCAACAGGTTCGTCTTGGTGGCGATGGACTACTTCACCAAGTGGCCGGAGGCATACGCCGTGCCGGACCAGAGCGCTGCCACCTCCGCTCAACGTCTGGTAGACGAGATGTTCACCCGATTCGGGGTCCCGGACGAGCTGCACAGCGACCAGGGTCGCAACTTTGAAAGCCGCCTGTTTGGGGAGGTGTGTCAGCGGCTGGGGGTGAAGAAAACCCGGACTACCCCCCTTCACCCACAGAGTGACGGACTTGTGGAGCGTTTCAATCGCACCCTGGCCACCCAACTTGCCACACTGACCAGCCAACATCAGAGGGACTGGGACTTGCACTTGCCATTGGTTCTGTGGGCGTACAGGACGGCCGTACAAGAATCGAGCCTCTGCACCCCAGCAGCCCTGATGTTCGGCAGGGAGATCCGCACACCAGTGGACCTGGTGTTTGGTCCCCCCCCCGGAACCTGAGGTCGCCAGCGGGCCAGAGCTGGAATACTTCAAGCGTTTGAAGGAACGCCTGTGCACTATC